CCAGGCCTTTGAGAGACTTTAGGCACTTTGACTTCCCCTTCCGCACAGCAGTGCGAAAGCCCGGGCCAATTAACACAAACCGCAAAACCGCCAGAGTGGCAACAATTTTGCGAGAGCTTCCTTCGACCAAGGCGGATGATTGAACATCCCTGGTTTGACAGATCTTTGGCGAGCATGTGCTTAGGATTCATGCGCTGCTGCACCATGGAATGAGGGAGTCCACTATTTGTGGCCAATGAGTGAAAACTAAGGGTGGCTGTCTATGTTATAGGGAGAACATAGCATTATGATTTTGCAGTACAGCTCCCCACGACTGAGGCCACCAGTAACAGACCCTAGTATTGAGCACCACTAAAGTGCAGATTGTTCTGTGGGATACACTCCTTCCTTATGAGGAGGGCGTTTGACTTCTTAAGGTCCCCAATGAGCTGGCCTTTGGTTAGCTGGGAATGACATGGAAAGAAAATGGAAACTACGACAGTGCAAGGGTTTATATAGGGACGACTATCAGGATCCATTCCTTCATTCCTGGAAAACCAAAGGCCAATGAGGAGTTACTGCAGTTTATGACTCCGGCTTGCGTGGGGCTTAGGGTTTAGGGCAACCCATGAGCGCAAAACCTGCAACTTGACACCTCGTTGTGGAGTTTTTAATATTCTCGAGAGGCCCGGACAGTTCACAAGAGGCAGACTTCATCTCCCAGAAATTTGTGTTACCACAACGCTTTCGGCTGTAGATGGCGCTAGATCCGCACTAGAAGCGCGCTAGCATCTGTTGTCCATGTAGGTAGCCCACCAGGGGTCAGCAACCCATGTTTTTCGCATGACATCTTTTCATGTATGTTGATTCCCTGAGAAAAATCCAAGATGGCTTATAGTAATTGGAATCGAACGGTTGCAATGGCCTTACTGTTAAGTTTCTGTGGCCTTGCTTTCACCAGTTGAGCGGAAGCGCCTCAAGGACAGACGGCGTGATGCGTATTCCGATCGATATGGAAAGGACAGAGATGCAAACCTAGAGATAGAAGAAAAGGCACCGCGCTAGATGCAGTTGACACTTCTGAAAACTCAGAGCCAAATTTCATCATGATATGGTTCTGCAAAATCCTTACCACATGAGGCGGCGCGCAGGGAAAAACCGAATCGAGATCAGGTCCAGGAGCAGGAATATTGGCAACAGCCCATGTGGTGTCTTTGGCTTTTGAGCATGCCCACATTTGGACATGCCATGCTTAAAAAACTTTCGCAAAACACTCCTGTTTAGGGGCGTTTCTTGACAACAGTCATACTTAAGCAGAGCCCCTATTTGGCACTGTTTCCCCCACACCACAACAACAGGGACCCTTAACATAGCCCAGGAGTCTTCGCATTCATGATCATCGCAAGCTCCATAGCCGTGGGCGCCGAGGTTGAGTACACAGCCTCTTGCTTGAAGATCTTTCCCAATGGATCCAAAGAGCCCACAGCAGGTACTGTTCATAAATCTTAGGGCCCAATGTAGGCATTTTGTGCAGGCTTGGATCCCCAGGGCTTTTGTTGATAAGCGTTTGCAATGAGGGAAACTCTTGAACGAGATTGCTATTCTGAGTACGGGATGAATTCGAGACTATTGCAGGCATCCATGCCATGTCTCTCGGCCAAGCGTCAAACACCACCAAGCAGCATATGGTGTCTCAAAGCCTGTTAGAGGACCACACTTGCAGCTGCTCTTGCAAGAACATGCAATGCAAAACCTGACGTTGATAGTTCTTGCTAGTAGGGAATGAAGGATTGGAAAACGACATGGAAGCTACTTTATTACATTGTCAATTGTTGTGCGGGAAGCTACAGGCATCCGTTTGATGTGTCGGTATGTCGAAAACAGGGGCACCAATCTTAATATTTCAAATCAGCAGAACAGCAGAGTCCCCTTCTAGTGACCCCCAACAGGGAGCATCAGGAGCCCATAATTGCTGGAACGACGATTGTGACTAGAATGCAGTCTTAGAGCATTTTGTGTCAGAAAGTTCTTTTCCTCCAGGCATGAAAGAACCTCTTGCCATCTCAGCATTCACATCTTGTACGGCTATACCCACGGTTACTGTGATGCCGTTATTCGTGCAGTTGCAATACTGATCTGTACTAGCTCGACGACTAGCTCTAATTTCTCTGATTTTGTGTGGTCCATGTGGCTACTATTTGTGAGGCTTGGACTTGTACCCTGCAGCCCAGACCTTCCAACATATCGCAGTTCCGACGGCCTTACCCTGAAAGTCCAGATAGATCCCTTCCTGCAGCTCAGTCCATGGCCATGTCGAATGAGCTACCGCCAATTTTCGCAGGGCTTCAGCGACTTGGGGGAAGTTGTATGGTCATGATTTGGAAGTTACCCTGGGGCTCCATGTCTATGCATAACACTTACATTGGGCCCCAATGTCTAAAAGTACTACGTACACTTTGCAATATTGAGCCCTAGGGTTATGACAGTAGGCTACTGGGCTATGTCGCTATAGGGTGTATGGAACCCAGAACCCAGTAGTTTGGAAACTGGAGCCCTAGGGGAGCTTATGTGTACATTAGAGGCATTAAAAGGACGTTGTTTTCATGGTGCAGGTCGGGGATGAGCCGTTGGCGAACCTCCCAACTCTCGTAGGATTTAGGGTTTACTGTTTAGGGTTCACGGTTTAGGGATGACCCAAAAGCCTCCTAAGCTACACAATCTTGGTGTGGGAAAGACATTTTGCATTCTGGGTGTAGCGTGGGTGGCACGCATCCTGAGGTAGATATTAGGTGGACCCCCACCCAGCAACAGCGACTGTAAGGGATAATGGTGATTATATTACGGTCATCTATTCCTATTTTATCACTTTTACACGCAACCCTGAATCCCAAACCCCAGAACCCTGAAGCCCAAACGCTAGTAAATACTCTGAAAACGTGCGCATTTGCCTCAGCCAAGCTGATGGCCTTGTTTTAAAATCTCCCTGGCACTTCGCTAGGACCTTAGACCCTTAATTTTGTAGGGTTCCCCTATATTGCTAAGTGCCATGGTGAAATCGGGACCCGTCTTACATATCCAGGAATTGGTGATTTCCATCAAAGATGGGCCCTGAATGTTCTATGCTCCTGATTGTAGGGGCTCCCCCATAGTGAGTCCCCAATTTTTGGAAACCTGTGCTTTGAGCAGAAACATGAGCACACTGTAAACCCTTTTAACCGCAGCTGCAACCCAGGATCATCTTCTTTCTGGCCTTTCTAGTTGAGCTTCTTATCCGCTTGGCAGCCTTCCGAAAGAGTTTCTTCTTTGCTTTTGTCGGGGCCTCGGGATTGTGTTTTCCTCTCAAATTTCAGATGTCCGGGCTTTCCTAGACCTTTCAAGTACCCATAATTCATGCCCACAATACCAGCCTTTAGGCCCATCATATTTGGTAAAAGGCCAGTATTATGGTTTTTCCTGCAGTCTACCCTAACCCTAAACCCTTTTCAGAGGTCAAGTGCTTCAGGCTGACACACGTCTCAAGCGCACGGGTTTAGGAGGGCGAAGACGGGCCCCAAAGTGTGGCCCTAAAATAGGCGTTCTGTAAGCCATATCTAAACTCCTTAAAGGGGTTTATATAGCAGATTATATAGGTGACTAGTATATGGGGTTATGAAGGTGGATACTAAGAGTTTAGATTATGGCTCATATAGGAGTTACGCAAGGGCTACGTAGAGTTTATGGTAGAGTTTATGGTCTAGGGGTATACTCCCAAGAAGAGAGAATCAAATGCACAAGACAATGGAAAACAAGATGGAACTGTGTTTGTTTCGGGGATTACAGGGATAATTACCAATATGATGGTCCCGTTCCACTGTAGAGTACCTCAAACGGGCTTCTAGTATTTGTAATCACTCGAAGCAGTACGGGGGCGTGCTTCATCGGCTGTCTCATTTTTTTGTGTTGGCCGGGTCCTCGGCTGCAGGCATAACCTTCCTGAACCCTAGGCCGTACCTGTGACCCCAATTCCCTACAGTTTTATGGGTTATATGTACTAATCAAGGGGTAATTACTGTTAAGCTGTAGGTAATTGATGGTAATTGGGGTTACAGGTAGGGCAAGTCGTTGCCACATCCCGCGTGATTCAGGATGCTGGCTGGAACATCTTCGACATGGTAGTCGTGCTCTTTGCAGGGATCGAGGTGGCTGCATATTCTGGGATGCAGTTTTCAAAATTCAGCTCAGTTTAGGGCTCAGGTCCTAAGCTCAGTGTATACAATGAGTAGTACTTTATTTGGGGATACTATGGCACCCATTATAGAGTAAGATTATATCCTCTGGGGTATAGTATTTTATATATAAGGAATATTATCTTACTGGGTTGAACCACCAAAAAACACTACTCATATGCTTCTCTGGCAATTTGTTTGTGAAGTTTGTCCGTGCTTGTCCATCATGATCCGTAGGAGCGCCGTGGATGTATGAACTCATGTGAGCTACAGTCTAGACTCCTTAAAGGGGGTTCTATAGGGGATTATAGAAGGGACACTATAAGTGTTATTAAGGGGGATACTGGGAGTTTAGACGATGGCTCATGTGAATACGGATAGCTGCAGATATACGCCCGCAAGATTATTTTCTGTTACATTCCCAAAAGGCCCATGAAGCTATATCATATACTTGGTCCCTAACTAGTTATATGGGAACTCCTTTGGGCCCTAAGTACCCTAAATCCCAAGCCCTGTTAAGTATATATATTATATGTCTACGTGCACCCTTCGGGCCTGTGCTTGTGGAAGAACTGTGTTGGACACATGTCCACTAGATACTTTGTCAATGGCCTCACACCCATGGTAATAGTGGTTTCTATAGGGATTACATGGTGGTTGTATAGGGATAATGGAAAAGAAAATGGAGACTTCTATGGTGTACCGGGCTTACATAGGGGTTATATGGTGGTTTTACAGCGACATGGAAAAGAAAAATTGGATAATGTAAGTGTCAGTATGACACCTTACCCGATATGCCTTGCCCCTCTTTCCCAGCTGGTGGCCACGTACCTTTTCGTGAACAACAGTCCATACCTGACAATTGAAGCTTGGAATGCATTTCGAGATCGGGCAGGGTGTTGGCCCACCGGGTTCAGGGTTTAGGGTTTAGAGCTTTAGGGAGGTTGTTACGACCGATTTCTATTGCTGCTTGAATGTACCTTGATGCCATACAGAAAGCATGTACTCCAATGTTGTTGGGGGCAATATTTGTAAGAGTCAGGCCCCTACCTTGCAACAATGGCATCTGGCATGCTGAGGGCTCACCACACTTCGTACACAGATATGCAGGGCTCAACATTTCGGATTCATGTGTGCAGCTAGTGCCACAAGGTGTTTGAACAAGCTCTTGGCTGGCAAGCTTCTGTCAACGCCCGCTGACATTCTGCCCAGTGTCAACCCTACTTAAATGCCTCAGGATGTATGCGGAAGCCATGACTGCCTTGTCAATGCTGGTGCTACAACGCTTTGCAAATTGGTTTCTCATAGGTGCACTGCTGCACTCAAATCTGTTTTCCACCGTCTGAGGGGTTCCCATACGCGTGTTGGAAACAAGCTACGTGTAAGTATGACTCACCCCCTACGAATCAGCTTGGCGTCAGCCTTGCGAGAAAAGAGCAGTATCAGTACAAGGAGGCCTTCAAGAACTGACTAACATCATACTACCACCTGTACGTCCCACACTTGCAACCATCCAGAAGCCTCATGGAAGCCTCTATGCGGAGGATTGCTAGCTGACTACCACGGCTGTCATGATACTGTAGAGAGTTTCCACTGCCAGCAAATTTTATCGAGCAAGCGACCCAGCACTTGTAGGAAGTACCTACCGAAAAGTTGAGAGTCTATGTAACCAATAACTGGTACTTGGGATGATGGTACTCGTAGTCGAATGTACTCACAAAGCCCTAAACCCTAAGGATTTTTAGGTATGTGGACCATTAGGGAAAGGGTCTGGGTGTGGGGTATGCAGTGACGTCCCTTAGCTCTAGACTCAGTTCTTAGGGCTTACGGTGACCAATGACTTTCAGTGCAACTCCCCTAAAAACGATGTCATCCCCTATGAGCCTTTGAACAATCCGTACAAGCCCTTCCATATCTTCTTACCTCAGAGTTGGACGCCCCATACCCCTGGCAGGATCTACAAAGTAGATCCTCTGTGCAAATAACCCCTAATGAATGAATATACACCCACTACAATACCCCATTGTATTCCAGAGGATCCATTTGTTCAGATCCGTTTGGTGGTATGGGTCTGCCAGTAGCCGAAGAGCAAGCCAAGGTTCGCATGATCCGCGTCGCAACATGGCTGTGCTTGGTGGGGTCAGATATTGGGACCGGGTAGGAGTAAATAGGGATGTACATAGTTTAGAGTTTTCAAAGCTTATTTGGCGGTCATGTAGGATAGTACGGGGATTATTTGGGGATTGGTAGGGACATTGCACGAAAAACTGTAGAATCACATGGAAAAGGAATTGGAACTAGTTAGCAGGCCTTCAATAAATGTTTCCAAACGCTACGGTATGGATTATACAGGGGATATATAGGGCATCTATAGGTGCTAGAAAGGTGTGGTGTATATATAGAAAAACAGATAAATGAATATATATATATATATGTGGGTTATATGGTAAGATGTATGGATATACGGGGATGTCTGGGTTTAGGGTTTTCATGGTTTAGGGGTCCAATTTCGCGAGTCCCTAAGAGGAATATGTTATTTGGGTGTCTGTATGGACGTTCCCCTGTTCATGGACACCATATTAGGAGTTGAGGATGTGGAATTGGGCACTCGAGCGCTGAGTTGAATAAACCCTGAACCTAGCTTGCGGTCTTGGACCCGGGTCCGCAACAACTCAATTACACATGTTAACTAACATGACTGATCAAAAAGTCGGTGTCTTTTTCAGACCTCAACACTGCCTGAATAGTCCAGCTCACCCTAAACCCTAGCTACATCCTAAGTCGAGTTACCTGACTTCGCAGAATGACGGGCAACTCGTGCCAGCTCAGTGAACTCTCAACGAAGCTGAAGAATGTATTGGAAGTTTGAACGTCGAATGTGCTGATTTGGCTGAATGACCCAGAGCCGTCCATGTCATTGTTCCTAATTACACTATATTGGGTTACCTAGGGGTTATACAGGGGTATTATTGGGCGAATGGAAAATAAGATGGAAACTATTGTAATGGGTTATTTACAGGCTATATAGGGGTAATATTGGGATAATGAAAATCAAATGGAAACTACTGTAAGGTGTTATTTAGGGGTTGCTCATGGAGCTTTCGCTGAAAGCTTTGGATCCCGTCGCCTGTACACGATCGCTAACCGCCCATGTCGCGATTTCCCGAAACGAGCGAAGGATTGGGCCTAATGTCAAGGCCTGTTTCGTTCGAAAAAGGTCTGGAGGCTTAACATACTGTAGCTATAGAGTAATGGTTGCAACTCTTCCGGCTCTGCATTACATCATGAGGGTCTGGGTCAGCTCAGGGCATGTCATTGCCAGTTATGTTAAGTTTGCGGACCTTTTTTAGCCTGTGCTATGGGCAGTACTGTAGAAAACCAAAGTCCAGTCCGAAAAGGCAGTAGGTCCAACAGATTCCTTATTTTGGAGCCCCCTCCCTCCATTTTCTAGTCGCCCTTCAGTAGATAGAATATGGCTTTGGGTCTATTATGATAAGATTCCCATATACCCCATATTCTACTTACTTAAGGGGCACTATAATGTAACATAGGGTGATGAGGTGGATTGCTGCCAGCTTTAGCTTGACTTGTGCTGTGAGACTCATCATTTTCCTTTGGCTAGAGCAAATTCAATTTCTGGAAACTACCACATATCCCCATGCAAGCCCAACTTCCAACAATTGCTCATTTTCTGTTCCATTTGCTTCTCCACTGTTGGGAGAAAAAAGCTTGAAGATGCATAATCTACTATGGTATACGGTGATATACTATAATATATACTAATGTACTATAGCATACTATAGTATATTAGTATATTAGTATATACTAGAATATGCTATAATATACTTGCTCAGGGTCTGCTCAAGGGGAGGTCTTCGATCCCTGTTCCGCTGACTTCTACTCGTCTTTGGGCACATACCCCAAGTGTCCAAGTACTTAAGACACATTAAGGTCCTCAAGGTTTAGGGCTTAGGGTTTCCCAAGATTAGGGGTACCTTTACCTTTCTGGGGCTTCCTATGGTAAGGTCTATAGCATATTGGGGTCTATTGGGGTACCCTGATTTGGGGAAATTACCATGCCATTTCGCAAAACCTGTACTACAAGTACTAAAACTACCACCAAAATCCCAGGTGATTACCTAACTGTTGGGCCCTAAACCCTAAACCTTAAACCCTAAACCCTAAACTTCAAACCCCAAACCCTAAACCATGTTGGGTACCTGGACCCTTAGAGCCGGAGCTCTGTACTTTGGTTTGACGAGGCCAAGAACTCATACACATCCCCCATTTCAGAGGGCGACGCTCTTTTGTCTGGGTAGGACCCTGGGATATTTAATATTTTCCCTAATGGCTTTAAGAGGGGACCATTTATACTAATATTTTTCAATGTGTTCTAGGGGCCAACCTAGTTGTGTGGGTCACTATCGGATCTCCGCTTAGGTTCGGTTTGCTCGTATCATCAGAGTCGTACGCTTCCTCCGGCAGCTGCGTACCTCGGCTAGCACTCAAACCGTGATCCCTAAGTGTACTGCCAAAGTACGGACTTGTCTCCTAAGCTCAAAAGCTTGCTCTTCAGGTCTATCTGTGTTGAGTAGGTCGATAAAGTTTTTATGGCCTTATCTGAACATTTCCGACCTGAGAGGGGTATCCTGGGAATGAACTGATAAGGCGCCAAGGTGTTCATGTTGCTGCTCGCTTCCGTGATTTGGCTTTCATGAGACTGCCCTGTGTCGGGAGTCCACCTCACCGGGATTATAGAATAGTGGAGTCTGTATTTGGGGCGCTCTATTTGTGGAGAACTCTAAACCCTGATAACAGCTATTCCCCAAAAATGTGTATTCTGTGACTGTGTTGGGGGCAGTTTGTACTTCGGGTGGGGCAGCCCGCAATATTATTTTGATATTGGGACAGTTTCCATTTCATGTTCCATTTTCTTGCCTATATACTAAGGTCGTGTAAGATTTTTGCAATAGGACAGTAACCCTCTTAGACCCAAAGCTTACAGTCGTTATTCTCCCTAAATCATTGCTAAAGCCGCTCCATATTTCTTGATTACATGCTTTGCAAACAATCGCTGGTACGAAGCTCCCACGTCCTCAATTACAGGATAGTCGACCAGTTATGTGCACATGATTGTGGTTTAAGATTCGGTCCTTTCGACATGGTGATCTCGGCACAATTCTGTTTGCAGATGTTAGTGTCGTCCTTTTCTAGAGACAACTCCAAATTTCGAACTAATCTCAGAGGTCTGAGTAGCTAACTGTAAGCGCAACGACCAGCAATTATTGCAATTTAGCCCTCTAGAGGCAGTAGGGCAAAAGGCCTTGACATAAAGACCAGGCTGCGTATTCTTGGCTTTGCAGAGCTTCATGCGAACTCCAGCACAGACTCTTCGGATTGAAGGCCCGCCTGAGACTTTATCTCTTGAGAACCGAGCCCTGCTTCGCAAGGCGTCATGGTGTATACGCTGCTGGGAACCCTGCCGTCGCTCTTCTGGAGCGCGGTGCCTTCGCTGCAACTGCAGAGGGTTGGGGAAGTGAAGCCGCAACCTTGACCTACGCTGGGCTGCATTCTGATGGTCAGGAGGAGTTAGTCGGTAGGTCCATATCTCATGCGGATTGTCATACTGCTTTGAAGGGTCTATACTTTCACAGGCTACGACATACGCGAGGTTTAGGGCTCAGAGGCCTGTTTTGCTTCCTGGCAATTAGAGTCTGGTATCTTGCCTTGGAGCTTTGCATCTCTTCTGGACTCACGTTGCACGCAGACATCCGATCTTCAGCGCGAACTGTCGATCCGTAGTCCGGCACTGAAAGCCAAGTCTTTGCAAGAGGCTTAATCTATTCCTTGAGGGTCCAAGTGCCGAATAATCATATTCTTACCCAAAACCTGTACTACAGTTACTGTTACCCAAAACCCAAGTACCTAAATTATGGGGTACAGGGACCCTCAACCCTAAACCCTATATACCCCCATATATCCCTATATACCCCTATTATATCCCCTTTTACAGGGACCTAATTATTGGGTACATGGACCCTCTGGGATTGCTATTATTTACAGACTTTCGTGCCCAATGTAGGTATTATTTGTATACCTGGATCCTTAGGGAACGAACGAAAACTCAGCATCATTTTTCGGTTTTTAAAATCACTACGGGCTCTTGTCTAGGGATCGGGGCTAGGGCGCAAGGGTCAGGACCCAAACGGCGGGCACTGTTTCGGGCCCCTCCAAAAACAGTATGCGAGGGTGCCGGGCTTAGGGCTTAGGGGTATCCAGGGGGTATGCCGAAGCTGCAAAAGAGGTTATATTAGTCCCAGCCAGGACACATTTTTGCATGACATGAAGGAAACGCATCGGTAGGATTTCAGTCAGCAACTTCAACGGTTCGCAGATAGGCTCGCGGAAATGAGGCCTTCGCAAGCCCCAAGCTGTCATGCTGAACCGCCCCTGCGGCTCTGATGGTTCTTACTCAGATTTTTCCGCAACATGCGCCATATACCCTGAACTTCTTCACAAACCCCTATACAAACCCCATAAACTCCTATATCAACCCTATGCCCCTAAACCTGAAACCCTTCTGAGAACTGAGCCTGAAGGTGCTAATGGGCATCATTTTATACCTTTTCGCCACCATGCTGACCCAAGCGGTTCTGGAACATTTGATGCTGCAGCCGAATGCGCTGAATAGCGAGCCCCGGAAGCAGTGGTCCTCATGTCGTTTTTTCAGGATGATATCGGGATAATACAGAAGAACATGAAAACTTCCATTTATGGTTTAGGCGATGGTCTAGGTTATACACAGGGCTATGTAAGGATTATACAGGGATATATGTGGATTCATAAGGATATGACCTCAGGGATATCACCCAGATAATGGCGAATCAAAATCATGGAGAATCAAATAACCCTAAACCCTAAGCCCCAAGAATGGACCTGGGGCTCATGGGAATGGTTTGCTTGAGTGGCAGACAAGGGAACTACCTGCGATAGCAATAATCTAGGGCTCCAAGCTACCAATATAGTAGGCCACTGGTTGACGTCACTATAGGGTGTGTATATATGCATATATGGTAGTTTCCCAAAATAAGTGGCCCTGAATATAGACCCCAAGATACTATAATCCTTACTATCGGGACCCCTAAAAAGGTACCCCTAATTTTGGGAAACTATCATATATATATAGCGTGTGTAAGTGGAGCCTGTGGAGCCTTAGGCAATAGACCAGGGCAGTCGCGAGAGCAGGGACGGAACTGCAGGGTGGTATTCCTGGCCTTGGTTTAGCTAGGAATGGAGGGTCTTGGGGTTGAGGGTTTAGGTTTGGGAGTTCGGTTTTAGGGTTTAGGGTCCGAGGAATGGATCCTTATAGTTGACCATTATAGTAATTTCCATTTTTTCTTTTCTTTTCCATTCCTTCATTCCCAGCTAACCAAAGGCCAGATTAGTGGTAGCAGCAGTAGCTGCAGTCGCGGCCTTGGACGGGTCCATGGGGATGCCCACGCGGTTTAGGGTTTAGGGTTTAGGGGTTTAGGGTTTAGGGTTTAGGGCCACCAACGTGGTTTAGGGTGAATCAGGGCTTGGGGTTATCCCTAAGGGTCCCAGTACCTAATAATCATATACTTACCCAAAACCTGTACTATAATTACTATAACCCAAAGTACATGGACCTTCTGGGTATGGTTTAGGAACAGGTAGGCTCAACTAAGTTACGGCTTTAGTTCAAGCCATGTAAAATGTTCGGGCACACATGCTGGACGGCCCAAGCTACAAGTGCAGCTGTGAGGATATCCAACAGTAAGGCATGAGGGTGCAAATGAGTCGAGAGAACTATAGTCCCCCTTAAGTAGATAGAATATGGGTATATGGGGATCTTATACCCAAAGCCATATTCTACCTACTTAAGGGGGACTATAGCTGGTCGTGGCTTTGTACCTTGAGTAGTGAACACCACTACACCGATTGGCTGTTAATAAGCAATGGAGGAAGAGTAGCTTCCATTTTCTTGTCCAATGTCCTTGACAACCATCAACAGAACCCACACCACTATGCAAAGTCCACATTGCGAGCTTTCACTCTTTGTTTTTTGGGGTCCTTCTAAGCTGGGTATGCATGCCATCTAAGTCACATGCGCTTTGGCCAGGTTGCAGCGCCTGTCTATGTTTGAAGGGAGTGTGGCATGCTTGCCGGAGTTTGCTCACAGTGGAGTGGTCCGGCTGTGGATATCCGTATTCCTCACGTTCCCAAAGCCTTCAAGCCAACACCCTGCACCCGGTCAGATTCACTACATATGTCGGAGAGTTGGAATGATTGCTAAACTTGATAGCTTTTGTTTTTCCGAATAACTATATTGCAATCTACCCAAAAATCATGCGCTGAGAAGGCCCCTACAGTACAATCCTTTATATTCACACCCAGCTTCCATTCATGTTAGGTTGCCATGTGGTTTTGCATTATTCTCGTTGATTAGTCGCCTTAGCTCCAAACCCGCTATTCCCCTCCGTGAGCAATAAGCAATCCCCGCATAATCCCTGTATCGTCCTTATAGAACCCCACAGCCCTACGTACTTGTATCCTTAAGTCTTTCAATCATGAACTCAGTGTACCCTTCCGTCGATAATTCGCCCCTATACATGCCCACAATAACTCCATACTTCTACGTATTTGTACACGTAAACCTTCGTTCTTCCCAGGAGCAGCTCGCTTTGCAAAAAGTTTTTGGGACAACGGCTCAGACGGCGCGAGGGCGTGGGAGTTGCAACATTTCCCTAAATAATAAGAATAACCGAACTCGGAGTAACAAACAGTAACAACCATAGTAAATAATCATAAACAAAATCGTAATAGTAACAAGAAATATAAACATGAATAGCTAGGGGTTCGCAGTTCAGGGTTTAGGAGAGTCACATGGAAAAGAACATGGAAAATAAAATGGAAACTGGGTATATCTGGGGGTTGATAGGGCAGTAGTAGGATTTGTGTATCCCTAGCCCTCCAAATGAGGGCCCAGCCTTTTACAGTTTTATGATTGCTTCAGAGTCTTAATATCCGCGGTTGGGACTTAACACGTTCCTTTTATTCATCAGAAAAGTGGGGAGCAGCAAGCAGCGGAACATGTGCTGGTCCATCTTTGTGTGGGGAGAAGGGCTCGGTTGAGGGCTTGTGGTGATGTTGTTGATGATGATGACCATGATGATGATGGTGATGATGATAATGAAGATGATGATGATGATGGGAGCTATGGGCTCAGGTTTGGTGGTTGGGGCTCAAGCTGTTCCGTGTGTAGGGTTCAGGACTTATGAGCTACAAGATATTTGAAAATCATGGTCATAGACAAGCCTTGGTGCCGACAGGGCAGGGCCCAAGGGTAGGGTGCGATGCTTCTGTCTGCATGAGGCTACACGGCTTGGCTTGTTAAGCGTTGGCTTCCCTAGTGCAATGGTGCAAACTCCAGACTCACTCTTAATTTTAGAAACACCCTGGGCCTCTTTCTTGCGCAGGCCTACTTCCTCTTTCAGGCGGTCTCAGGTGGCACCAACTGGGCACGGGATGTGGAACTGCTGTTTCAGCTGGAGATGCTTGTCTCAAGAGATCTGTTGATCCAGAATTGAGCTGTGGCTTGGATTTTTTGGACAGCAGTGAAGAGGTATGAGACTGCTAATTGAGTTGATTTCTCACATCAGTTTTGGTACCATCACAGTCATCACCACCACAAGCTGCAGAGCCTTAATTACGCTCTCGTTACCTCTGCGGAAGGAGTGTACCTAGGTACCCTTTGAAACCTATTGTTTGGTTTTGGGGGCCCTCTGGCACCATCCGCTTTACAGGGGGCAAGGTGTGGGGAAGACGGTGACCCAAATTTTACTGGGTTGCTCTTAAGGAACTTACTTCAAGTTGCTGTAGTGTGCATTTTTTGTAAATTACCGGGTTCCCCCAAAACAGTAACCTAAGCTAAGTTCCTTAGCAACAACCCAGTTTTACAGTGCTGCTGCAACTGACTGGGGTGGGTCTGATTTTGCAGACACGCATGCCCAACATTAAACCTCAACCAATAAAACCCTAAACCCAAGAAATTGTTAGTGAGACGCCTGCAAGACTGGGACTTTTTGGCCTGGACGAATTGGGGATGGAAATTCAACATCATGCTGAGCAACTGCTTGTTATTCAGTCTGCAAGCCCACTTTTGAATATCGACTGCATCCTCTCGAGCTCTACTGAAGTGCATGTCCCTTCTGTTTTGTTAATGTCCCGCGGGTTAGTCATGCTGCTATGAATGTCCTAGTGGTGGAGAGCTGACCCTCGTAGGCCCTGAATGGGGTTGTAGTCACGGACCTGAACGTTCTTCGCCGTGCCTGCGCTGCTGTGCGATGTGCGTGTCTAAACGCAAGAAAAGTACAGGGAGGAGTCATATTACAGACGTGCACAACCGAAGCCCAACCCTGGGACCTCCTTTGAAGTAATAGAAAATAAAATGGAAATTACTATAGTATATATTGGGATAATGGAAAAGAAAGTGGAAACTATTATTAGTGCATGATATGGGGTTTAGGGGTTTTTAAGGCATTGAAAGAGACAGGTCAGCAGAGACCTACTGGTTGAAGTGCAAAATCAAGTGTCCCGGATTCAACAGGGAATGCAAACGCGGATTCGTTTACGTGCACAACCCCTAACTCTACGGCCAGAACCCCAAAGCTTCAAGTCCCGCAGCCCTCTCGCCAAGAATTGACGCCCTAAACCTTGAACCCCTAAACCTAGCCTCAACCCCTAAAGCCTTAACCTACCTGGAACGTGTCTGCTAAAACATCTCAGCCCCAGCCAAGGATCATCTACGTCCCTTGCACGGCAAGAGCAGAACGTTCCCCTAAGAGTCTAAGTACTCAAATAATGAGGGTTTAGGATTTAGAGTGCAGGGCCGCTGAAGCGCCAAGCTTTGGGTACTTGGACCCTTAGGGTGCTGTGTTTTGATTCTAAGTATTGGCAGTGCATGCGCGTAACGAGCAGTTCTACTGCATGAGATTGCATCTTGACAGTAGCTTTGAACGTGACTCCTGTGTACTGATCGGCAGTACTTAAGTTCGGCTTCTCCTCGTCCTGATGAGTTGCTATGATGATACTGAGCTTTAGAGTGCAGTGGCCACAGCTTCTGACCCTCTCGTGCTTCAGAACCTATCTGATTTTTGCGATGGCTGCTTTTGCGTCCGCCGCATGACTGGACAGGGCAGCCTTCGACAGACAGCATGAGTACGATTTGCTCCATTTGAGATCTTGTCGTGCCTGCCCTTTGCTGCATGCCTCTGTAGCTGGCCCTCACTGCTGCCGGCGGAACTTTTCTAACATGTTTTCGACCAGTAGCTTCGCACTGCCTACCTGCACTGCAGCGAAAATCTAATATGCATCTCGGCAAGGTCTTTGTGTTCATCATCTACGTCATGATCACGGCATTCGCCTTGCTGAAGCTTTGCTGTTTGATTGTTTTGAACGGACGGGCCCCCCGGGTTTTAGTCACGTATTGCCCTTGGCCCTTGCCAGGAATAATTGCCCATGATCATCACCGAATTCCTTTGGGCACTTACACTCGTCACAGCAAAAGTCTCCAACATTAACTTCTGGCATGGAGCCGTTTCCAGTCTGAATCTTTCCCGTCAAAGTCTCTCAGCTTTCTTCTGTAGGCCTTCCACTTGCGACAGATCCTTCA